TGTACAGTATCAAAGGGATGCATCCAGTATACCTATCGGGGTACAAAAGCTGAAAAGCTCCTGTCAGTATTTAACAAATTCTATGATTAAATATTTGTTTCTTATAGAGAATATCTGATATTTTGAAAAATACCTTTGAACACAAAATTGAATTTACATGCCGCCAGCAGAGACAGTCACAAGTGAAGGAATAAACCTTCCAGAGACTTCAAAGCTGTCTTATTTCCTCTTTCTGGAGGTTATGTTTACAATTTGGCATCTCAGTTTATTTAACACATTTCACGAGCTGTCACCAGGTATATTTTTCAATCTCTGACAGATCCGTGCTAGCATTTCGCCTCCGCTTTCCTGTATTTGTACTTTGCAAAAAAAAAAACTTTGCGGTACAATCTCAAAAGAACCAAAGAGTAATTTTCTCATCTGACCGAGCTTTAACAATTCTATTAACCCGAATTGATGCTTGATTTGATGCTTAATTTTGATTATCAAATGATATATTAGACATTTTAAATGAAACTCTTCCACTTAAGAAGTGACAGAAAAGCAAAGACAGTCAAAGAGAAAAAGAAAAAAGAACTATGAATGAGGTGGAAATGTAATGTCTCAGAGAGTGTCCAAAGGGGCTTTAACACTGAACTCACTTGGTTCAGTTAAAATAAACACTGGCAAGTTTTCCTGCTTAATGCAGTTAGTTTTGGATAGCTAGAAGAAAAACTGTCCATGAGAATTATTATGACTTCATAAGCTAAATCTGCTGTTAGATTTGCAATGCTTATAATAAAAAATGCACAGCCAGTGTAGGATCGCTATTTACGATACATGGAAGTATTACCATATAACCTATCATACCACTGATTTATTAAAGATATTTTATCTGACTCAGTGTATTATGCACTATATTTGGCCCATTAACATGTCAATATACATTCCCACTAGAGCAAAAATGAAATAAAATTCTTTGAATTCTGCTTGGGACAGGACACTATTACTGTGTATGTAGATAAACATGTTTAAGTTCCAGGGTCAGACTGTATAACTACATATTCACATGCAGTTTGATAGCTAACACATTGTTTGAACACTGCTGGAGTAGAACTAAAAGTTCCAAACAAACAATTACCAATGCTACATTTCTTAACTTAACCTCTTATCCGCCCTCTTGTAAGAAAGTTACCAAGTTGGCATATATTAGTCTTAAACCAGGAAGTCACCGCCATTGCTAGTTTGTGTACATTCGGGATGCGTGCACAGGGAGCAGGGAAATCGAGCCATAAAAGTATTCTAAACAGCACAGGAAAGGAAGTGTTAGTAACGGTTGGGTTCACAGGTAACAATTACGCTGCTTTACTCACTTCCAGTGGCGGAGCCATCACTGTTGGTTTCGGTCTTCTCGCTGGAAGAGAAAGGTAATGGCCGTGAAAACTCCGTCCCTTGGTCTGGAGGGCAGCCCGCCATCATGCAGAGACGCAGCAGGCCACATCTGAGGATCAACGGCCACAGGGCAAGGCAATTACAGTGCTAACACTAGAAGCACCACTGCTGGATACTATCAGACTGATTACATTAACAAGTTGTCACCTTTTTAATGAAGTCTACATATGTGAGAGTAAAGTGCCCTGATAACAATGGTCAGTGTAAGGAATCAAAATCTACTGAAAGACTCTAGGAGATGTCTGTATTTATCAGTGCACTGATCAGCATTGTGCCCTGTGGCTAATGTTTAGTGCTCTGAATTTGTGCTGTGCTCACACGAGGTAATGCACCACTTCACAGCTATGGAGCTTATAATGGCTCTCATAATAGATAATAATCCTGTCGATCATCCTGTTTTTGTGTCCAAACTAATGCTGTATCTGTGACTTTCAGAGGGTTAATGGGCTGTAATGGAGAGTCTTACGTGCTGTCACTGTCTGGTGCTCTGGTCAGCACACTCTGGACGAGCCCAGTCAGACTGGCTATCTGCTTCTCCATGGCCTCCATACGCTCCAGGCGATGATCCCTGCGAAAATAACAAACAGCACATCTGTGAAACAAAACCCTGAACTCAACACAAATGAAGAGCTTTGCAAACAAAAAAATATTTGTTCTTAGGGGTGTGAAATATGCAAATTTGAATAGGAGATTGTTAAACATGAATTAATAATATCTGTAAAAGTTTATCAGGCAGAGAAAATATGTAACTTTGAGGGTTTTGTTTTTGTTTGTTTGCTTTTTTCCCTGATGCACACTGCATCAGAAGATACAATAAAATACACGAATAAAAACAGGAAAACATTCACACTGATTCTTACTGACCTGCTACTGTCAGAATCTTGCCCAGATAACGAAGACCCAAAACCAGATGTGGTGCGGCTGCCCTCTCCAGGTCCAGCTGTTATACACAGAGGATCAGAACCGGAGCTGGGCCTGGATTTCGGGCTCTCCACAAACACAGAAGAAGAGGCAGAGTCCTTGCGGAAACTCTGTCTGACAGGTGAGGCTCTGGGTGTGCTGGAATAAGAGTCCCTGTCCCTCAGCTGCATGTCAGGGATTTTCTGTGGGGATGACGGTGGCATGCGAAATCCCATGCCCAGAGTGGCAGAAGAGTATGTGTCTGAGTATAGTGAACCTCCAGGCTTGTAGAGCGAGTCTTCCAGTTCTCCCTGGAGAGCAGCAGCTGAGTAGGTGCTGAGGGAGCGCACAGAGCCACGTCGGTACAGGCCAGCGGAAACAGGGAAGCTAAAGGGGTCTCCGATCGCAGCTAATGACTGGGTGGAGGCGATGCTGAGGCGGCCTTCGTGCATCAAGCTGTAGGGATCGGCATATAGCCCCTCATTTTTCATCAGTGCCATGTTTTTAGCAGAAACCTCTTCATCAGGCTTGACATCGCGGCGCTCCAGGATGGCACTAGGTGAAGGGGACAGACCTGCGTTGGCACCATGGCCGGCTGAGGGATGGTGTGGGTGTCGGGGCTGATCATGTTGGGGATGGGATCCACCGAAGGATGGAGCACGGCCCCCGCTGTAGGAGAGGCGTGAGCGAGAAGGAGACCCAGAGGATGCTGAGGCGGTGGAGGAAGGAAGGGTATTTAGGCGGCGAGTTGGGGAGGAGTCGCGGGAAGAGTAGACCATTTCCCTCTGAAATGAACAAAGAGGGATGAGAGTTACCATGGAGACCAACAGATGAGTGTACTGTGATTCCCATGCTTATAATGACTGTGACTATGACTTGGATCTGGCTGACAGCAGACAAGGTGTCAGGATCTGCAGATGCCAAAATATGATGATAAATTTGTTAAATAACGAGACAAATTATTGGTCCGATGGAAGAGATCAGAGATGCTGCCTGTGATTTTGTTTATTAGACTAATGATAAAAGGAATAAAATTGATTGTGTCTACTCAAAATGGAAATAATCTGCAAGGCAACACAAGACCATGTAGTCTTAAATCTGTATCTTTATCTACAGCAGGATGATAACATGATGCAAAAGCTCATTCAACCTGAAAAGCTCTGAACGTTTCTTCACTGAGCTCTTCTTCCCTGCCTTTTGTCTAGTATATTATTGTTAAACATGCCCCAGTGCTATCTTTCACTTCACCTCTGGCTGTGTTCCCCTGCTGCTAATTTAGTCCTGTTGTGATTTTTTTAATTTCTGAACCTTTTAAATGTCAAATAGTCTGCTTTTCCTAGTCGCATATCTACTTTTCTAACTTAAGTCATTCGTGTTTTCATTCATTCTCAGCATCATAGCAAACAGTTTATTGCAGAGAATATATTAGACAAAGACAGAGTAATATATGATGTTTAGCCTTTGTAACCAGGGATAAATTCATTTATATACACTGAAAAACCATGGCATTAAAACTAAGCCAAACCCTGTATTTCCTGACCAGTTGACAAGTGGTTTCTGATTTTCAGTGGAAGAAACTGGATGTACCAAGAATCGCAAACACTACCTAACCACTGACAGGTACTGACACTTTAAAAAGTGCAGTAAAAACTACCTCCAGCCTGCAAGATTGGGGCTTTAGCAATAGATTTCACAGTGACTGTGAACAACCACTGGCAACCACTCAAGGAATACTTATTTTTCCTAATCAACTGTTGCCAACTGGTTGCCAGGTTGTCACCAGCTGGTCTTTAGGCCTGTGTGGCTACTTGTTGATGTTTTTATGGTGTACACTCGTTGGCCACCCCTTCCCCTCTTTTTCCATGTTAAGTTCTTGTATGTTTACGTAAACAAGGACAGCACATGCACTGAAATCATTTTTCATTCTCTGTGTGCATGGTTAACAAGAGTTGTATTCTTAGTATTTTGTGAATAATGCAGATTGTAAGCACAGTTTTGTATAAAAAAACTAAAAAAGGATCTCCCTCAGGCTCCCTTGATCTTTACTGAAGCAGAAATAGCTTTGAATGTTAAAATATGCTCATTTCACACAGGAACATTGTTCTCTGGTGTCTGCACAGCAACAGATGGCCTACTTGAAGATAAGAAAATACATTTCCAGGAGGAATACCTGTTAAATTACTAACCTGAATATACTGTAATAGCCTGTAATAGTCAAAGTAACCACTGAAATAATAAAAATAATAAAAGAAGGCACTATTACCTTACCAAAAAGGCACCCCATTATAGTTTTCATTGACAGTTCAGTTGTCAAACTTGCCAGAGATCAGACAAGAATTTTGTTCTGTGAAATAGCAGAAAACAGGCTGGCCTTTTCACCTCCCATCTCCATTCTGCTTACCCTCAAGTCCCCGTTGGCCAGGTGTGCGGCAGCGGGATAAGAAGCATAGATGGGTTCTTTGCGGTAAATCTTGATGATGCTGCGATCCTGAATGTCTCTGACATCCTCCAGCTCGTAGAAGACATTACGGGCCTCGTCCTTGATCAGGATGGCTGTGTTGGGTGACTTCAGCATACCTGCTGTCAACTTCTGAGGGAACATGTGCACGATGAGAGCATGCAGCGTATCCAGGCTGGTGAGCTCATGGGTGATGTGCACCCGACGCGTCTCGTCTCCATATTGCAGAAACAGCACGCCTAAAAGAAAGCGATGAAGGAGAAGGTGGCTGAGTCAGAAGATGCTGGCTTTAGTGGATGGAGAGAACTAGCAGAGACATTTTGTTGGCTGCAGCTGAAATGATACAAATGTTCTGATTCTTTTTTATACGAAATCTAGATAACTTTTCTCATCAGATATCAGTATGACTAATGGCTAAATGAGTACCAAACCCACTCTTATTTTCTTAATGTTTGATTAGGATTGTGAGAGATAGTTGAGAATTCACAGATAATGCACAAAGATGCATGCACAGGCTGAATTTTTTGCAAGGTTTTCTTTTTGAGTATTAGTTGCCCCACCTATGAATAATTAAACTCCAAAACATCCCAACTTCATAAAAAGCTTTCAGCAGATTCTGCAACGATCATATAAATAAAGATGTGTTTGACACCTGACTAACCTGAAAATTCATCTTCATACACCATGGGACAAACAAAAAGTCATACACCATGGGACAAACAAAAAAGAACAAACAAAGCAAAGAAAGACCAAGAGTTAAAAGTCAGGCAAAATTAAGTGTCAGTTAATACTGCAGACAAGTTGGGAAGAGAAGAAAACAAAGACAGTAGTTAGTGTAGAGACAGGGGAGACAGGCAAGCCTGGTGTGCCACTTCTGCTTGAACTTCTTATTCAGGAATGCCCTAATCAGGTATAGCTCTTTAATTTTACACCCACTTCTTTTACCTGCGCAAGGTAACTCCACACCTTGCTCTTCATGAATCTGCACCACCTTCACATTAATCCTCTCTACACTCCCAAGGCCCTTTTGTTGTACAACTGTCCTTGAATGTTCTGCTTGCACACAAGGATATACTTAATCCAGTACAGTATGAACTCTGTTACAGTTAAATGAAATGTCACTAAAATACCTATCCTAAGAAAAAAAATCTATGTTTTTTATTCCATTCTAAAAACTACAAGACATTTTTGAACTCACAGGTCATACTTTATCAGGTTTGAGTGTTCTGTACATTTTTATAGCAGGTCAATTACACTAAAGACTGTAAATTCGGGTGTGAATAAAACACAATTCCTTCAATTCCTTGTAAGCACAGTGGTTCCCTTCACCAGCTACATGAGGTAAAGAGAAAGCTGCCTTGAGTCCAGCTGGTATGCGGTGATTTTAACCTGGAGATCGTAGCTTATTCTGGCTGGCTGAGCGGGACAGCGGCAGACTCTGGCGAAATCGGTTCATCCGGTTAAACCCAATGGGGATGTCGGCTTCTGACATAGTCTCCAAGGATTCAGCGGAGGCAAAAGAGAGCTTGGCAGCCTGGTCGGCGAGACCAGACTGGGTAGACTGGGAGTGGCGTGGACTGCGGCTCTACAGAGAGAAAAGGGACAGATTAATTGACTGTGAAGTGAAACTGAAGTGGAAAGAATGGATTGGATGGGGCTAGTGGTGTAAGAACAACTTGAAAACAGAGAGCAGGCACACAGTGAGACACCACACAATGAAACACCTAACAAGATTATTGAAGCCCTGACAATGGTTAAGCTAGCAGCCATTTACAAAGAATTACTGGCGTCACAGTCTCTGACATTAGTTGAATGGTGCAGCAACAAAACATTATATAGCTGTACTCAGTTGGCACAGAATGCCAGGACATCAGCCTTTATGAATCACTTGTAAGGAGACGTATTAAGCAGAAACTCAGAAAAAGTTAGTGAGACTTTGCACACCTCCCACACGCTTTCATCCAAACTTGTCCGTTTGCAGCTACGAACTTTAAATGAATGCTTGTGGGATGGGAGGAGAAGCTCATGCAAATCCCAGGCTGTCACTGTGGGTTTATCCTGCTGGCCTTTGCCCAGGCGTCTCTCACTGAAAGACTGTTAGCGCAGCTGGGGCTGAGCTCACTGAACTGTCTCTCTGATCCCCCACCGCTGCAGAGTCTCCTCCAGCTCAGAGGCTGCTGTAATGAGCTCCCAGAATGCTGTCTGCTCATTGTTTGGACGGCAAAAGCAAATGCATCTTTGGCCACAGCACAGGAGCCATTCCTGTCTCATCCTCCTTGAACCACGAGCACAACAGTCGTTGTGCTCGTTTAGAACAGTCCTTTCTAAGAATTCCCCTGTCTTCCTTTCGCTGCCTAAGTCAAGCAGCAGCATGGATCTACTGCTCCTTCCATTAATGTGGTATTTAATTAATGGGATACTGACAGAAGCAATATGGAGGGCCATATCTGCGCTCATTAAGTCTCAGCAGTGGGCTGTTTGAATTCATTCATAAACACACAACACTGCACAGAATACACAACCACTGTACATCCATTTATGGTTTTGTTAATTGGGTAATAAGCCAGGAAAGCATGCTGAACAAGAAATGAAAGATGCAAACAGAGAATACTTTCAATATGGATTTTTTTTTTCAAAATAATCAATTAACTACTTAATCAGTAAAATGAAAAAATAGCAGGGAAGAAATCCATCTCAATATCCCAGACAGAGAATTTCAAAAGGGTGGGTTTTGTTTTTACCAAAAGGCAGCGTGTGACAGTATACTGTCACAGTGGGCAAAATGAATGTAGCACAAGATTAATTTTTTTTAGCCTTGCAGGTGGCACAGTTCAATGGATGGCAATGTCACCCTGTCAGATAGTCGATCGACCACCTCGGTGCATACTCAGCTTTTAGATCGATTGCTACAGAATTCTGCACCGACGATCATAGTTCAATTTGTCCAACACTTCCAAGTGAACACCAGCCTAGCTTTAGCTTTAGTAGATATCCTTAATATGTAGATGCAAATGATAATAAATGCTGCAGTACTCATGCAACTCAATGAGATAAATCTTTTTCACTTATTAAACTTCTGGGAATCGAGTAATTATTCCAGTAGGGAATGGAATAACCAAACAGCAAAACATGGGACCTTATATCATGTTAGGTACTGCAGTCATTGGTAATTTGGTCTTTTAATTAGCTGCTGCATGCATTCACGTGTATGTTTACAAGACAAGTTACAAACCTGCAGCAAGACTAAAAATCCCAACAACCATTTTTTATAATGTAACCTTACATTCCTTTTGCCGCCATCATACATAATTCAATCATACACAGTGAACCAAACCAGTGATGGTAGCGGCAGACAGTGTCTGAGCGCACTGAGAAACTGCGATGCTGACAGATAACCCACACCATGTTTTCTAATAGGGTCATTTATCTAAGCTGTGACCACACCGAGGAACACAGCCAACAGCATCACAGAGGAGAAGCCCACGCTGTAGCTTGCCTCATTCTGGCCTGACCATCCTACATAGGGACATTAAGGGGTGAGGAGGGTTGGGGGATCAAAATAAACCCTGGAGATTTTATTTACGTTTCTACTGTTTTAGGAAACAAAAGTTATGATTGAAATGTCGAAACGTGCTTTCGGTGTTATACAAGCTGTTTGATGTGAGTCTAAGAAGCTATGATTAGCAGACTGGCAACACTGGTGAACAGTCATCCCAGCTCTGAGGTAACAGCAGTATAATTCTTGGGCTTCGTGCATTTGCCAGACTACTATGTAGGCTGGAGTTATTTATACATGACCTTACGTCAAAATAGGCAAAATAACCAGTTGTAATTTTTACACTTTACAGGCTAAACAGTAAAAAGGTTACTTACTGAGCTAAAAGAAGCATTTGATGATACATCTATGAGATATGTGTATTAATACTCAAGACCTTTTGGCCAAAGACAAAGCAATAGTGAATATTCTCTACAGAATAAAAACACTTTAATCTGAGCCTGTTAAGACAGTTTACTTTTAAGGCACAAAAAGAGAACACCTAATTTGATACTGATGGTGAAGGAAAGTTCATAACTGGGACCCAAAAACCAAAAGACTGATTTGTAGATTTTCGTTACTTTTTAGAACGAACCAGCGTAGTGAGGTGTGCTACTGATAGTGCTAGACTATTTGTAGACTACACTTGACGTTCTAAATGCCAATAAAGAAGGAGGATGATAAAAAGCAGTTTTTGGACAAATTCAGGTGTTTAGCCAACACAGAACAGGTGCTGAACCAGCCGTCTAAATGAAATATTACTCAGTAAAAGTAACACCCGGGAGCTGATTTGGCAAAGAAATGCAGCTTTTTCTATGAATGGGAATATGAGCAACTCTGAACTACAGCTTGACTCATTCTAGCTGTCCTTGTTAGAAATTAATTTTAAAGCGAAATAACCCACTGAGCTTTCTAGGAAATGGAAATGGGAGAGTATGATCCTGTATGTCTGAACTAGCTTACCTGTCATGTTTTTAAACCCAAATTTACCTCCTTATTCACGCTGCATTCTCTCCGCAACTCCTTTCAACATGCTGCAAAAACAAGACAATGAAATCCCCATGTATGACTGGGTGTAAGATTACTGCAGCTGTTGTTACATGTGGTTTTACTCAGATCGTCTTATTACAACAGTCCCCAAACATTGACTTCCATATTGGTGGTTTATGTGATATGTAAACTGAAAATGTCTCACTGCGGTAATTTTGCATTGTAAATAATATATGTGAATGCACCATCTGGTCATGCATCTGGTGCTGCTAGAAATGCCAGCGTTACATCACGGTGTTCACAGCCTTTGAGGAAAACTGGTTTAACCTCCTCATTTTTCCTCCACACCCTCCCACCTTCCACCCCCTTCCCTACACCTCAACCTTTTCTTTTAGACTTTTTCCAACAGCACTCAATTACTGTTGCAATCTCCACACTGCTATAAGGGCATGGCAGAAGAGAGGAACAAGAGGAGAACAGGATGATCTTACATGTGAATAGAGTGGAAAGTGGGACAGGGCAACCTAAGGCTACAAACTGCATTAAACTCATTGCAACCTCCCACCATGTCTTTTCTTGTTTCTTGCTTGTAGATGCTAGCATGAGTGCATACACACAGACACACACACACAATGGTCTACTCTGCTTTAAGGTCAAAAGCCTTGTAGCCTTGGTATATGGCTTTCTATGTTTGGGGGAGCATTTCTCATCAAACTCCATCTTGTACTTCAGGGTCGTCTTATTTAGACTGCAAACTAGTTGTCAGATTTTTTATCTCTTCTTCGATAAAAATGGTGAACTTCACTTCAGCCACAGAATGTTTTAATCAGGCATACTGTAATTATACTTCTGGGGTGATCAAAAAATGAATGCATCTGCAAAGTGTTAAGTTATCTCTCTGTGAAGATTACATTTAATTTAAACCCTGAACTTGTTTTCTGATATGGTGCTCAGTTTGAGGTGGTTGATGCCTGATTAACTAACTGCCTGAAGGTTCAGTGATCTGGCCATAAAAGTGAAGTGAGCTTGTTTTAAAAATTCTGGAGTATATTTTGAACTTGAAACCCCCTCTGTGTCCTTATATATTCCTATTTTCCTCTTTCTCATAACATAACATGTAGAATGTAAATAAATATGAATCATGTGATGCACAAGCTTAAGTTAAGAGGAGTTCATGTGCGAGGTGTCGGCATTGGCTACGATACAGCTGAGCCTCCAACAAGACAAGAAAATGGCTGAACTACACTGCTGTAACAGTCTAAAACCAGAGGCTGGCTTATTACATGACGGTTGCTGCCAGCCTCTTTCTAATCTTTTCTGCAAGAGCAGTAATTCTCCTCTTAAGTGACATTAAATTCTGTTGGATTTGAAAATTACTATATATAAAAATGCCAAACACAGCTTGATGTGAGTGAAGCCTTTGGTTCCCGAGGTGTAAAATCTTTAAATTGCAAACCTCACACCTTGTCCACATCTCATACTTTTTTCTCCCCACCAGCTTATTTTGTTCGCCCCTCCTAATAATATCTTTATCTTCCCTGGGTGCTTCTCTGTGTCTTAGCCTCCAGTGATACGTCCTCCTTTCCCACCTTTTATCCCCTGTCACTCATGTGTCCTCCTTTAATTCTTACTCGACTGCTTTGTGTGAACATATCTGCTTCCCCCTCAGTCTCTGGCAGCAGAGGCCAAAGCCACATCCAGGTACATCTCTCGTGTTGTTTCTGTCTACATCTTGAGCATTTTTAATGTTTTTCCTCCACCCACAACCTGGCTCTTTTCCCACACAAAAAAGTTCACAGCTCTCACTTTTAGAAAATGGAGAGAAAACAGCCCCCTAAATCGATCCATCTCTCACATCCATTTGGCTCTACTTGCTTTTTTCCGTTATTATAGCTTTTCATCTTTGTAGCCAATCTCCTGGACACAAAGTCCCCCAATACTCTCAGAGTCCTTTCTCTTTAGAATACCAGGAATCATCAATGCATGGAACAAAATGCTTTGTAAAACTGCTATAAATTGTAAGTTGTTGCAATAGGTTTGCTTATAAAAGATAGTGAGAATAATGCACTGTTCCTCAAGACACCGTTTTATAACTGAGAGTGTTAGGTGGGTTTCTGGCCGAGAGAAACAGCAGTTTTGAAACTTTGACAGGGATATGTTCAGTCATGCATCACCCACAACTTGTTAATTAGACTTAAAAATGTGTCTATATTTAGCATGCTACAATCCAATGAGATCCCTGGAAAACATATTTATGCCAAAGATGAAACCATGAGTGTATGCAGTCCTTATACTACTTCCATTTGGGGGTTTAATTTGAGCAGGGAGGGTAATTCAGGGAGAATTAGGCTTAGATTAGAGATGATAGCATGAGGGAGCAGGACATGGCTTTCAGAAGCTCTAGTGCAAAATTAAGAAAATTGAACAAGATGAGGCGCCGACATACAGTAAAAGATGTCAACAACAGCCTCTGTGTTAAAAGCATATAATATATGATATCTTTAGATTTCTGATCACTTGGAGTATTTTGCTTATTTCATTTGACACTATATTAATGCTGCTGCACCTCTGTCAATAAATTCTCTCTTTCTCACTACTGCGTTATTAAAACAACCTACTTTAGTGCATTGTGAAGCAAAGCTGCAAAACAACAATACGTGAATAACAAAAAAGCAACTTGCACTAATAAATGCAAAGAAATGAAAACAATCTCTAGTAAATCACTGATAAAGAAAATGTTCATCATGAACTACTTTGACTAAAGAAGAGTTAATTAATTTTTGTTTTTTTCTAAAGCTTTTCTTCTAAACACTTCACAGTTTGTATAACGCAGCTTTCAGTTTCTCATTAACGGTTGGAAAAAAACGAAACATCCCTAAAGGTCAACTTGACTTTGGGGAATACTGATGAGCATGTCATGGCCTTCATTGCTAATCAAGAACCCACATTTTCAAATGCAAATATAATTATTCGTTTCAATTATTATTATTTTGACATCATTTTAACATTTTCATTGGGAATGAGCAGGATGGATAAGATTAGAAATGAGTATATCAGAGGGCTAGCTCAGGTTGACATGATTTGAACATGTGCAGAGGAGGGATAGTGGATATGTTGGGTAACAAATGGGTAATGGATGTTGAATGTGGAGCTTCCAAGCAGGAAAAGAGGAAGATTCATGGATATAGTGAAGGAGGACAAAAGGTTGGAGGCAGATGAATAGCATTCTCAGTATTTCTGCAGAAAATCTTTCAGTCTTGTTATTTCATTTCTGAAAAGTCACAACTGGTTCAATTGATTGTTTCAAATGCTATTTTTCTTCCTCAAATACCCCCGAGCTTTGGCAGCCCACTTGTATGTCCTGCAGGGTTCAAAATCGTTTACTTGTGTGGCACATTTATGTGACAGACAGAACTCTAAATTCATGTTATTCAGAATAAATTAGTTGTGGGAATAGGGGATAAATTACTTACCCTTCCTCAAGGGTCAGGGCATTTAGCCATTGATATTTAGTGACATTTCCACCTGGTCCAAATGATGCTGAGAGCACAGACTGAGGTCAGACTACAACTCAGACAAGCCCTGGGCTCTTCCCTCACACATATCAATACCTTCTCCCTGCCTACCACTATGATCTATAAAGTCAGAAAGTGATACACACAACCTTGCACGCAAGCCAGCAATTCAGCGTAAGTGATTTATACAGTCGATATCACTGCCTGTTCTCCAGTGTATATAACCCATGTTTTTCCTTTATAAACCTGTGGATAAAATACATTTAGCATCTTTAGCCATGACTCAAGCTTCTGTGCTAATGCCAAAGCATTATTTCAGTAATGCTTGAGTAGCACATCTGAAATGCATTCTTAATGTCTCAGTCAGTAATACGTCAGCAGTGTCACATGGCTGCTATCCATTAATGCCAGCCGACTGAGATATCATAAATCCAGAGAGATTCATCTTCTGCAGATTAAATGGAGCAGGAGAAGTTTAAGCTGTTGCCACCCCCTGACACCTCTGCCACCACACACACACACACACACACACTCATAAAGAGACAAAACTCTCACACACATGCACACACACAGTGCACAGAGAGCCAAGAGATGTCAAGCGAGTTGGATACTGAAGCTAAAGTAGCATGGAGATAGGCTAGTGATGCCTGAGGGTCGAAAGTGATGCCACAGCACAAAGCACACATAGACACATTCAAATGGACACACTAACAATGACAAACACACAGGGACACTTGAACTAGCAGTACTGACCTTAAAGCTCCAGTAGTTGGGCTGTTGCTGTGAAGTTTCAGGAAGGGAGACAGAGGAGAATAGTTAGATATTTACGTCTCTGCTTATAGCTTAAGTTAAATATAAACAGAATATTGCACAGAGCAAAGTAAACTAGTTACAAGACAGAGTCACGCTGCAGGCCACAAAAGGTTTTGCATTTTCCTCCAGAAAGCATCCTTTGAACTCATTAATATTACTGACAGCCTCATTTAATAGGGCTCTTTGAAGTATTAAATGATTGGTGTTAATGCAAGTGGTCTCTGTGTTTTGCAAGCACTGGGTTCCAGCGTACCTAAAACAAGATTGCGTTGTTGGCTGTAACTGGTGAAGGTGAGGAAATGAAAAGAGTGAAATCGAATCAAGCAAGCAACCCACTCTGTAGCGGGAACGCTGGCCTCTCTCCCAGACTTCACCACCACAGGCAAGCGAGCACTCTGCCTCCCGCTTGCCGTCTCCTGTCTCATCCATTCCCAATCCACCAGCTGCGCTCTTTTCATCAGAACCTCGAAATCTCACCTGCTTATTTTCGCCAGTGCATGCTGTATTTCTCATCTGTCCATTTGCCCTTCCTGCTGCTCTGCCACATACTAAAAGGCGCTCGCATTTTGGCAGAGGTCTCTGGCTTTCTATAAAGCCATAATTACCCCACAGTCAAATCCAGGCCAATCCACTGATGGCTCCAAAATACCTTAAACTGACATGGAAATTAAAAAAAAAAAAAGATTGCAAAAGTCCATGAATTTTAATTCTAATCCAAACTGTTATTCTTGTTCTTATTCTTATCTGCAGGCAATTTTCAGTCCATTCAGTCGCCGTTCTCCAGAACCCACATTAGTCTCCTGGCAGATGAATTTTTTTCTTTTTCTTTTTTTTTTTAAGCGACAAGTTTTGATTTATGATAGTTGGTGGTTTTTCATTACCCGCCTCCCATTCTAATACAGTCTCAACAAAAGCCAGATTATTTCTGTAAACATGAGAATCAGGGCCAGTGATTACTAACTTATTGCAACCCAAGCTTTCACTTAATGTTCCCTCACTCTTTTTCAGCTCAGGTATTTCTGTCACTCTATTTCCTTCCGTCTTCTCTTTTTATATCGAGATGCAACTGTTTGCTTGGCCTTGACGCAGAATGAAGTGCTATAATTAAATTAATACAAAGCAGTAAAGTTTCCTGGGCAAGAAGGTAGCAGTAGTAAACTACTGTGTGCTGAAAACCCCTTTGCAGGTGTTTTCAGTCAGTTTACAAGGCGTTTTATGGCTCTGATGAAAACAGGAGAGGAAAACTTTAAATGTTTTGTAGCTACTCTACATGAATGAACAGATAATTATTTTATATTATCAGTTTTGAATTAAAGTGTGAATCTTGAACGCCACACCAACAAAAAGAATTAAAAACAAAATTACAAATGCACTAAAAAGACATTAAATGCTTCTAGAGCTATTCTACTAAAAATTTATTATTCTAATGATGAATTATTATTGTTTTCCCCAGTACTTTTTGCATCGAGAGCACACATGGTGGCTCGATGGTGTAGCGGTTCACGCCATCTAACAAGCAAAAGATCCCATCCCAGGAGGAGACAAATCCTTTTGAGGGTGTGTCAGGAAGTGCATCCAACGTTAAAAAAAATCTGCCAAATCAAACATGCCGAGTGGGTCCCTTGTGAATAAAGGATCAGCTGGAAGCAGCCACATCTACAGCACTCACGGAAATCATGTCTATATGGTTCCCTAAAAATAAAAAGTTGCCAGAATAGCAAAATTTAATTGATTTTTTTTTTAGACATAAGATACTGTATATCCCACAAACAGGCTGGAGAGGGGGGAGCTAAATATCAAAATACATTTCCATGTATCTATGCTGCACTGATTGTACACTTCTCTTGAATAATAAAAGTCCATTTAATACGTTTTGGAAGTATTTTGAGACTTTTGCAACATATTTTAAATCTTGCTTTTCCTGATGTCTGGCAGGAGGTTCAGGCTGCTGAGGTCCCGATAAATAGACTCAAGGACAGCTTTTACAACAGGGCAATAGCCCTAATCAGTGCAAACAGCTGACCTGATTGACTACCTCCCTGGACTTTTTTGGGGGGTAACAACAATAACAATAATAATATTTACAACAATAATTAATGTGCAATAATAACAGTGTGCAATACACAAAGACTTATTCTTCATTTTATTACTAAGTTAAGTTACTGTGATGTGTTGTGTTGCATATAGTGCCGACGTGCGACAGTTTTCCAAGTTCATCGTACTATTGTACTATGTATGATTGTACAGTGACAATAAAGAGTTATCTTATCTTATCTTTAAATCAGCATGTAGTTTGGACTCAACATTAGTCTTGGGAATGACTGCACCAACCTACCAGAACATCCCAAAAAGGGAAAAATATTCATAGCTCAGAATATCTGCGCCATTCATTACAAATCTGTGTTTTGTTATAAATGATAGACAACAGCTTTAGAAGGACGCTCTAAAATTATTCATGTTTCGTGAAGTGGCTGCTGTCTTTGAGTTCATCTGTGCTTGTCTCTTCTTTTTTTGATACTGCATCTCCACTATATAAACAAAACCTGCTTGGAGCTTACACAGCATACAATACAAAAATGGTTTAATAATCCTGTGATATGGGTCGAACAACAGTAACAAACTAACCACCTAAAAAATGAAACACTGAAACCTTTAAATCTCACTTAAAGCATCGTGTGCAATTTTGTTATTTTATTCTCCAAGTAATGTTTTGCAAGTGTAGAGTGGAGTTGTTCTAAGTATAATTTTAAATGTGTATGACTGTGCTTAGGCTCACTGGCTCTGAGACAAGTGGGACGCAAATTTATATGGCGCTTAATCTCTACCCACGCTTCTTTTCCCCCGTGGTATATAAATTTCTACCAACATGTCAAAGCAGTTGCTAGAGAAAATGACTCTTTGGTGTGATGTCCCCTACCAAACTCTAATGCCTTATATTGTTGCTGTCCATAGAAAACCACTTATCTTCAAAGTCCACAGGATTAAATTACCCAACATTGGTGATAATAAAGAGAAACCTCTTTGTGGATGATTTTAAAAAGTTCTCGTTGTTCACAGGAACACACTGGATTTGTAAATCATCTGGTCAAAAAGCAGACTCTCAGTTAGAGATTGAAGGTCAGTGATAAAGTGGGTCGCTTTTGGGGATATGCCAATACACAATCCTTCAGGACTGGACTCAAACTGACCTTAAATACCTGATCATGAGTCCATCATTTATTAAGTGTAGCCACTGAGTTTTGTCCTTGACAATTTGTCGAACTGACAGGAGCTCAGGGGCAGCACCGGTGCATCATAAATAATTGCTGTTCATTTGTTCTGACAACCTTAATGATTTTATTTTCCCACAAAGCTGAATGACTCAGAGGCTTGGCTTTAATGGTGCAGAAGTGATTTGTGGTCTTGTGTGTATGTCTCTTCCCAGTGTTTCTGTGTTTGTTGCTTTAATGAGGCTAACTCACACTAAAGTAAACACATTTTTATTGTTCTTTAACCGTTGCTCTGCTCTGACAGCTGCAGATACACTTCACTTGGACTTTGATTGGCAAATATTCCAATGTGAAGGTGAGAGAGAGCAAACTGGAGAGGGCTTATTTCAATGTAGATTATTTCTCTTTAGCAGTTCTCCATGCAGGCAATAATCACTGCCATTAAAGAACATCTTCTGGGAAGAAATCACATTCAACACCTTAGCCTGTAGTGCCAGTCGTTATCACTCTAATCCCAGATGAACAGATGACAGAGTAACTCTTGACTGTAGCTCTGCTACTTAGCTCAAATCTACACATTGTCATTTTTTAACTTCCACTTGAATTAAATAGGCTGCAAGCCCCACTTAGACGAAATTACTGATAGATGTTTGCACTTAGGGCTGGAGGGTTAAATGCATTTCTCACTGCAAAGTTAAGACGTCTATATATTTACGCATAAGCTTGTGTTTGTGCACTTACTGGGGTTAACCACAGAAATCTAACAGAAGGACTTAGTCTCGCAGAGTGGAGCGCTGCATTACCTGACCTGCATGTAAAACAGGCTGCACTCGCTCCACCCCTCCTCCACCTCTGTCTCTTTCTCATGTCGTCATCCTCTCTGCACCCCCGCCCCCCTCAAATCAACCCTTCTTACTCTTTCTCCCTCGATCCTCCTCCAGTCCGGTGTTGTGTCTAAACATCACAGCAGCTTCTCCCTCTCTCTCTCTCTTAAAAACGCACACATTAATCAGCAAATTAGTGCTCGCTCAAACAGAGACACAAAGAGCGCTGTGAACAGCTTATACATCAGCCCCCGTGTAGCTTGCCTTGTGAGCATATGCACGCCGTCTATACAACCACAACAAGCACAACAGGTATGCACTCTAATCCCAGCGAGCACATGCCCTCCCAGAAACACACAAACACACAAACTCTCTACGGCAGCCTCCAGTTTCCAGTCTCATCTCACCTGCAGTGCACCTGTGCCTGTCCACCACTCCAGTCATCCCAGGCTGTTCGTCAGGTACAGTGAATCCTCATCGTGCTTTCGCCTGTCTCTCCCTCCCTGAGCTTCTCTTACCCACCTCCCTCTCTTTCACTCAATCTCCCTCTCTCGCTGTCTCGCTCTACAGTTGCACATGCGGCGGAAAGTCTTTATTTAATTCATTACAACACCAGCCGATTAACTCCTTCGCAAATGGGTGGCTGGGTCCTGCTGGTGCTGGCTAATTGAGCAGTGGGCTGCTTCACAGGCTGCTGTGCTCCTCTCCAGCTCCTCCTCCCACCCTCCCTCCTTCCTTGCCGTCTATGCTCTGCAAAACCACAAGATGACAAGAAATCCTGGGCTCTGCTGCTTCCTTCCCTGAGTGAAAATGCCCTGTCACCTATGGATCTGTCCACTCCACAGGCTGACACTTAATTTGAGAAAAACACCTACCTTGAGCTTATTATTCCCCTGTCTCTTCTGGATTCATTGCACAATTCATCCCTCTCTACACAACCTGACCTTTGCAATGCGATATCCCCACCTACCATACATGGGAGAGGTTACCAAGGCAACTACGGACTCCACCTGCCGTTCAACCACCCTCCCGCTCGCTCGCTCACTCCGTCACTCTCTTTGATTCTTTCCCTTCACCCCTGATGTGCTTTTCTTGTCACATCATTACACTAAATCTACCCGGTTTTAACACAGCAGCTGCACTGGAATACAGAGAGCATGTTTCTGCGTAGTGTGTGTGTGAGACAGAGAGCCATGAAACTGGTCAAAGCATGAAGCACATTTGGAAAGGGGAAAACAACTGATAAAAAAGCGAGGAGAGTAGAGGAGAAAGATTATTTCGATGTGTCCGCATTAGCATATGCGCATTAAGTACTTTTTACTACGCTTTCCTACACCTTAGCAGAACCCCTGCTCTGGTCTGAACCCCTGCTCTGGTCTGAACCCCTCTTCTGAAGGCGGCACCATGCTGAGTAGCATCCTGTTGCAGCACCTCCAGCTCGGTTCTTTGATCTTTGTATTTTTTTTAATCAGGGTTTCAAAGTTTTGTGCTAATTTGAGAGGACATCTCTCATCTTTAACTCTATGTAAAGTTTTGCTACTTCTTCAAGAAGTAAAACAAAACAAAGCATTTTATAATGACACCTGTTACACCTACAAAACTACCCGACGCACCTCTTTCACGTCTTTTCTATCTAGGTCGGTGTCAAACTGCGTGCTCGTTTCACTGTTGACATCACTAGCAAGATGCCTGTTTTTTACCATTTAATAATCCATTTAACTCCACCTAAGTAATGGGGCATTCTGTGTGTACAGACAGCATGTTTTTTGGATTTTTTGGTTTTGTTTTTTGGTGATGTCACCCACTGAGAAAACAGTAGTATGTCCTGAATTAAAAGCAGCACCTGCCAAAAAAGCACCATAAATGGAGTAAAACCCTGCAAGCTGGTTCAAGGCAAGCAACTTGAGCTGCGCTACGTCATACAAACGTAACATGACTCACGTCCTGCTGTCGTATATCAATAACACTGTCCCCATTTGATGGTGTATTTATACTTTTTTCTCCCTATAACAAATCAGTGCTGCTGGAGCCCTGCACTCACCTGTTGGCTCCCCTATTGCTCCCAAATTTCTGCGCGTGTGATATTTGTGGGGGAAGAGATGTTCTCTGGGCTAAGATACCAAATTCTAGCTCCGCTGCTGTAATAAATTAGTCATTTCAAGCTTGAGTTGTCTTTTGGAAGTATCTCTGGAAATGGCAACAAAGTGAAAAATAGAAACAGTCGCAAGTACATTAACTAATAAATTAGTATTAATTACTTGTTCTCTTGCAGATCGCTCTGATGTACCCCTCATGCTGGCGTGGGAGGGTGAGGGCGACGGTGGGTTGTGGTGAGGGCTGTGGTGTGGATGCTGAAGCTGCTGCTGCTGCTGCTGCTGTTGTTGGTACTTGCTCTTCAGGTGATCCATGAAGGCGTCCCTCTTGCGTTCCATGTCAGCTTTGTGCAGGTTGGTCAGGGCCTCCAGGCTTTGCGCCGCACTGACTGTGTGCCGGTGCTCGGACGTATGCACCAGACCAACATTGGAGAAGCGCCGAGCATTGTTCCCCAGCGTCCGGTATTCTCGTGGATATTCCAGGTCATCTCTTGAGATCATGTGACCGCCAACACGCTCGGGATCTAAGAGACGAGGAAAGGGAGGACAAAGGAAAGGGAGAAAGGGAGGAAAGAAGGGTGGGAAGTATGCAGGAGAGAGGTGAATCCTCACCCACGCAAGCATGCAGAAAGATTTTAAGGTGGAGACGTACATACACACAGCAGGCACACATAGGTGGAAACAAATGAAGCAGAGAAGGAGAGTGGAAATATAAGGTACAGAGGGGACAGGAGAGAGAGACGGAGAGCGAGAGAGAAAGAGAGAGAGAAATGGGATGGGATGTTAGACTATTTGCCACCAGGACAGAGCAGTTCCTTGCAGAATTATTGATTTCAAATGCTGAGGGAAGAAAAATGAGAAAAGTAAAATGCTTCTGCGGTACATCAAAGGAAGAAGCTCAAACTGAATTTGTTTTGCTGGATATTCCATTGTGATATGCCTGCTTGTCATCTTAAGTGGCTTTCATTGTTTTCTTGGGGAAACAGTGAAAAACAAACTACTGAAAATTGAGGTGATTGAAAGTCACATGGGAACATGAAGAGAACAGCATTTTCATTTCTCTCACTGTTCTTGTCCTTCCTCACCAACTCCTGTCGATCTGCCCTCCATCCCATAACCCCGTGAGACATTTTCTCTATATATTCTTACTGTCTCTGCTGAAAGGTACTGATCCGGCTGTCCATTTTTAAGGAGGTGCTTCAAACTGACAGCCCTTGGCCTTTTGTCAGCTCTCTAACTGACAGACAACTCAGCCCAAGGTGGAAGGAAAGAAAAGGACAGAAAAGGAGACAGTTGGAAGGAGACAGTGTGATTACACACACACACACACACACACACACACAAATAATTGTGTGACTTGAATCATGAATGAATGATGGTGCGATAAAGAGCAGAGAACCTTTCAACCAGTAAGTTACCTTGCTTAGGAAAACAGGCCCCAGCGTTGGCTAGAAGAGAAACATGCCAAGGGTTAATATATGTGTTTGTGCACAGATGTGCAACCAAACACACCAGAACACATGACCATCAGAAAAGGGCTATCAAGAAATGATAGCACTTCGTCTGAATTACAATAAGTTAATGCATTATATATGCATTGTGATGTATTCATAAGGGTTCACATATGGTGAAATGGCTTTCTATGAATGCTAATAGTGTCTGACGGTAACCTGCAGAATGGTGAATGACTACAATCATGAATTTTACATAGAAATAATGTTTCCTAAAACTCCAACACATTTAACTCGAACAAAATATTAAACGTCAGCAGGTAGACAAGCATTTTTCTTTTCAACTCGATAATAAAAACTAATATTATTTAAAGTAAAAGCATGAAAAGTGCTGAGGCTTAATAGGGCTGAATGAAGTGCACCATATGTACATTAAATTCACATCAGCAACATTAGCACGAGCTGAGCAAGTGAGCAGCGGAGGGAGGCTCCTCGGGGCAGAAGCAACAAATGGACTGTTAATGAACGCAGAAGTGACGAGGAAGCCGGCCAGATGGAGGCTCCGACGCTCTCTGGTGGAGAAACCTTAACACAGAAGGAGTCTGTTAAGAGCCGAAGGTCTGTGATCACTCCATGGCAGCTGCAATCAAACCGTGCACTCATTGTGAACCCGTTTCTCACTCTCTTCGTTCGCCGAAAGATGCTGCACTTAAGTGTGAACTGCTGTCTCAACACCCCGCCCTACCACCCCGCACGTTATGAAGTGCTGATAAACTGAACAGGCAAAAGGCAAAATGGACTGACCTCCGAGCTAATAGCATTAGCATTGAGCTCTCCACTGCACACCAAGGCTGACGGCCATACTCATTTGGCCCCCTCTCAGTTTCCCAGATCTCTGGTTTACACCTCATTAGGCTGGAGCTTATTGTGCATCAGCTAACAAGGACCTGACTCAAGGGCCCCATTACAATGGCTGGCAAAGCTGTGCCTATGTAGTGTGGCTTATTATGCAACTGAGTAGCAGCATTGACAGTGAAAAGCTGAGTACACTAGGCTGCCTATAGACAGGCATAAAACTAAGAAGAGAACGAAACATCAGCAAACATTTATAGTACAGCCAAGAGTTTTATAGAGTCCTATAGACTGACTGTGAAACTTTTCACAGTGAATACCCCCTCAAAAAACATTTGGCTCTTCAAGTGCCATCATTACAGCCGGCATTAAAATACAGTAGATATATAGTATATCTACTATAATGAGATATATAGTAATAGTATTTTTAGTTGAAGTTAAGACAACACATGGCAAAATGTCTTAAGGGTAACGAGGGCTAAATCTACAGCAAAGTACAAGCACTGGTAGCAAGCCCTTATTAACTGTTAGCTAAATAATTCAAACCTCTTAACAACAATAATGCATCAGTGCTGGTTAATGCCTGGAAAAAAACATTTAAAAAAAACCATTATCACTACACGGTTGTTCTCTAGAATGACTGGCCTGTATACGATTTTGTTTCTTTCTCCTGGAAATTAAGTTTAAAAAGTGGGTATAATTTTATGATACTCCTTTGCTGATCATCGTCTGATCATCAAGAATCTGTCAACTACAGAGCAGTTTCCTTAGGCTTATGTATCTCAGGGAAACAAGATGAGTGTAGAAATGTTTCCTATCTTCAAAATGAGTTCAACAGATGTCAGATAATTGGAAATTCTTTAATATCAGGTGTGTATTCAGGCCAATATGCTATGTGGCTGTGCATATGTTTTAGTAAGATTTTATGTCATAGCAGAAGTCAAATGGCTTGCAAACGTCAGCCAAAATGAATGACTCAGTATTTCTTTGGAACACTCGTTTCAAATCCAACCCAAAAACTTTCCAAACTGCATTTTGTGGATATTCTTTGCAAAGCTGTACACAAAGCCCTCCATCTTAAAAACAGCGGGAGTAAAAGTTGTGTGGGCAGGAGCGTAAGAATAGAAAATGGAAACAGGTTATTCATCTTTACTTTCGTCATTCTCAGCCAATATATTTCCACATAAGCTGGCAGACAATAACCCTGACAGCCAAAACAATCTGTAAAAGCCCACGCAATGGCAGCATCATTTAAACACACATAAAAAGACGGGTTGGGGGAGCATTTCTAGTGTACACTATATAACAAGAAAACACTTTCTGTCACAAAGTCTGGGTCTGCAGCGCACCAAATTGCAACTACAAAGCGCCTCCGGGAAAAGTTGCAGGATGTTGGTCAGCTAAAAAACAGAGGACTTGAATGACAACAGGAGCCTGCAATGAGAACTGATAAGATCTGTGAGCCCAATGAGGCCTGAGCTGCATTGCCAAGATAGAGGCCACAGTCAAGTGCATTAACCTGTCTAAATAAAAAGAGCCTGCTGCGGCAAGCTCAGAGAGATAACACAAGACAAACAGAGGAGAAGAAATTACAATCCTGGAAAAATAGATACTATAAGACAGTCCAAAAAATCCCAACAAAAAAAAAAACAACTAACAACAAATGCAGCCTGATTGCACAGTCCAACTCCAGTGATGTTTCTCCCAGTTTATGCAAAATGCATGAAGCTTGAAACAATCTTCCATCAGTGAAGATTTTTCTACAAATGAAAGATTATGCATAAAAAGATAGAAGTTGCTTAAAAAAACAGGGCTCATACTAGTCATTTCCCTCCCATAATCACCTCATCCTTCTTAACGTTTCTCATCTATCTTTAAATGTAGGCAATTTCAGTTTCTGACGAGGTATTTGCCAAACCACCCACAAAAACTATTAAGAGACATACATGCATAATATTAATCTCTATCACTACAACCAAATTCTGGACTGTATACGAAAACGTGTTCTTGCAGCCACCCACTGAACTGGAGTTTCAGCTCAGGAAGAGAACTTGCTACTCATCATATGCAAAGACATATGGTATGGAGAATCAGGAGAAGGGGTTTGGATTCGCTTTTTGCTGGATTTGGAAGAGGCAGCCTGTGCAGCTTTATATTTTAGGGATGTTAAACATGTGGGTCAGAGAGAGCAGGGGGTGTATGAGAAGTTTTAAGTCACACAGCATGATAAGAGAGCTGCAAGGTGCAAATAATCAGAGCTCTGGATTCCTTAATAGCTAAATCCAATTTCACAGGCACTTCAAAACACTTGAGTCTGTACATATTGTGCCATATGCAGGTGCAATTTAAGGCTTCTGAATAAGCATTGTTTGAGAGGATACAAATATGAATAAATATGATGCTTGAGGTTAAACAGTATTTTGGAGATGCAATTATTGATAAATGTGGAGCATTTCTCCTTTAATCAATAATCATTTGGTCTGCACAATGTCAGAAAAAAATGAATATTTCTGTAATCATTTCCAACAGTTAAAGGTGTTATCTTCAGTTTTCGAGACTACTCTAGTGAAACACTAAAGAAGCTGAAATGCTATCATCTAGCTAAACAAGTTAATCAGTAACTAACTGATGGATTGCTTGTCTACTTATTTAGGTGGCAGTAAGAAACAGGAGGACAGAAAGCTTTTTTTTCCTAGCTGTGAAATGTGAAATAGTTAAAGTATGAAGTATTTTCTAAGTTACTTTGTGTCTGAAAACTCTGGCACATACAGTACATGCTTTTTTCTAGTGTTTTTCAATAGTTTCGACTGTGCGTTGTCAGACAGCAAGAAGCAGAAGTGGCAAGAGGGAATAAATTAACGAGTAAGTGTAGCAATAGCTAAGAAAAACTCAATCATCTCTTCTAATTGGCCCTCTGGCCCTGTTGTTGCTATCAAAAATATTTTTTATAAGTGAAACTTCTTTTGATTGCTTTCTTTTTGGATTTTTAAAGTAAGTATTTATTTTTATAACTCAATGTCCTACCTATGCAGACGGTTGGGAAAACAAGGCGAGCTCTTCCCTGTAAATGCAATCTAATTTACTGCTACCAAAGCTCTTTGTGGAATGCCGGCTGCGGCAGGACAGACTAGTTCATTATTAAACCTGTGAAAAAGTGGGGAAGATGTAAAATTAAGCAGAAGTAGGTAAAAAACTGCAAATTGCAAATCTGGCTCGTCTGTTGAGGCTAAAGGCAAAAGGAAATTTGCAAAGCCTAAAGCTGTTAGCAATTTTAACTCGGTGCACTCCAGTGGGAACACTTAAAACAAACAACCAGAAGGAAAGAAGGGCATGTCAGGATTAACTATAACCTCATGAAAACCCAACAATCAGGACATTATAAACCCTGCAGGTCACAACTCAAGAAAGAGGCTATATCTCCATATTGAATAAGCTGTACTGAATAAGTACTTTGAGCTGCATTATCAAAGATAAAACAAGGGTGGTTAAAAGTCAGGTAAGGTTAAGATGAGGTAAAATGCAGTCGCTACTGATTTTCCAACTGCAACAAGCAGTGATTGCAAGCTGTCACACATCTTGAAATCTACACTTGCTGATATGAAGGCAACCATTTGAGTTTCATTGAATACAGCGCCAAAAAATGACTATGAACTTGTAAAAATAACCTCCCTTCTCTCTTCTCTTGCTCTCTCTCTGCTTGCGTCTGGTATACACTTAGAGCGATCAGGCTCCAGGTTAAAACACACACACACATATAACCCAGCAGGCATGTGCTATTCAGTTTTTTCTCTCCATTAAGGTAATCTCTAAAAGCTCAGAGGCACTGCTGTGCCAGGAGAGGAGAGTTAAAAGGGGTGAAAGTGACGGCTGGGCAGAGAGAGCAAGCCATCAGGAGAAGGTCAGCCTGCCTGTCTGAGCTGCTGGATGGAATAACAGGCCAAGGCAATCATGAGGCTCCAGACAGCCTCACATATAACTGACAGAGACAACTGTAATCTGTTGCGCCACACAAGGCGATGGGGGGTACGCCTACTTGATCATTAAAACATGTACAACACAAAGCAACACGCCCATCTTTTCACCTTTTGCCCTCCACTGTCTATCTATTATCTGTGCCTCTCTCCCACCCACAAACCCAGCAGCCT